ATGGAGGGGCAATAGAGTCCTCTTGCTTTTCTCTTTTTCATCCCTTTAAATCAAAGGGATTGTGGGGATTTAGTTTACAAATATAATATTTTTTTAAAAAATGAATATCTGAAAATATTTTAATTAATAAAATTTAAAAATTTTATAAAAAAATACATATTAACTCTTATTTTAAAAAATTAAAATCTTAATTTTAAACTATATAGTTTTATTTAATTAAAATTTTAATTTTTAAATATAAGTTAAAATTTTAATTTTTTTGAAAATTAAAATTGATATATGTTAATATCAAATTTTATTATATTATATTTTATCTTTTTTAAAATTATTTAATTAGATAAAAATATTATGCTTTCATTTTTTTCTACTTTTGTCTATTCAAATAAGATCAACACTAATTTTTTCTTTTCCTTCATTTCTCCTTCCCTCCCCTTATCAAGGTTTATGGGATGAGAATTCCACGGCCACGATCCGTGGAGGGGATTTGCGCATAACCCTGCGGGATGCGCTTGGATAAGAAAATGCATGGTGTTGAGTGAGGGAATTCAGAGGGATTTTTTGATCAGGTGGGCCGCGGCAATGTGGACCGGGCCAGAAGATTTCTGGTCCATCGGATCGTTTACAGAGACTAGCGCAATATGAGTATCAAATAAATGTAAATCTTATAGAAAAAAAAGGTCACTAGCTAGCCTTTACAGTTCATAACATTTAGGTCACCCACTTTTGAAATGCAACATCCAAATCAATGAACTTTATTGGGCATAATATAAGTCACTGAAAGCTCATTTCAATTGAACTGAACTATTTTGAACCTCGCATGTGGTTTACCTTATAAAATAAATTACCATAAAATCTCCCACTTTTTTAAGGAAATTAAATATATATATATATATGTATATATATAAGTGCATATTATGTTGTTCCTTGAACACTCTCCTCCATCTCCACATCATGTCTTTATTGTACTTCGGTCACAAGATCAAATAAAATAATAATTAATGAACTTATCAAGAAATATCGATAAGAAAATAATATCGAAACATGTATAAAAAACCTACTTACTTTAAGACGATTAGATCAATTAGTGCAGCAAAAAGATATATAACATGTTGCCCCCATGATGCTACAAGTTTATAATTATACTCTATAAATCTGTACCACCCATAAAGTCACCTAACTCAAAACACGTTTCTTTACCTAATAATATTTAGAAGATAAATTAAGGCAAGAAAAATAAAAGAATGTGGAGGAACACTTTTTTGAGCAAATAAACATGTTCTATTTATAGGACTTATGGTCTTGTAACTCCCATTTGTAGGTTAATGATAGGAATAAATTAGGCAATTATTTTGAAATAATGTGCCCTTAAATAGAATAATTAACTTACAACGATTAGTTTGACCAAGTTCTTAATGAGACCATAAATTCAATTTATTAAATATATTATTTTATTTTTTATTAAAATATTTAAGTTCCAACAATTCTACCACTATTTTAATAAAAAATAAACCTTTTTTATGGGCAAATATGGATTATTATGCATAATAAAGGTATCTAAACCTTGAACCTTTACTTAGTGAGTCAACAATTCTCAATCCAAAATCAATAGTAAATTAAGTCTGAAATTGTGACTCCATCGGAAGATACAAGAATTGTATCACACACAAAATGATCAAAATATTGGGTTTTTCACATAGTTGGCACATTATGGCCATGTGCATGATCTTGGTTTTCATGAGTGATCTAGAAAATTGCCCATCCAATTTTCATTGAAGCGGTCTTATTTTGACACTCACATAGGTGAAATTTGTGAAAGGTGCTCCCATAACAAAGAGACCCCACTCATTGAGCTACAAATCTCATTAAGAGTATAAAATTCATCTTTCAATTCGTTATGGGATAGATGCATCCTTATCTTAGAAATGGGATCGAAAATTTTTTCTATTAAATATTGATGCATCTTTCAAAAACGACTTCTTTATAATTCATTTTTTTCATTCAAAATCCAATTCTTAGAATTCAAGTTGGGTATCCTTATAGGAAGTTCTACTTTATTGGGCTTGAATCTCATTCTTTTCGATGAGCACTAAACCTTGGATTATGATCATAGATTTTCCTCCAACTTTTGTTTTTGCCAAAGGCCTAGTTGGTGGTGTAGTGGGTAAAAAGAGATTCAACTCATTCTTTTTCTCACTTTTTCACATCAACCCACATGTCTATTAGTTCATAAAATTCACATTCATATTTCTCAAATTCTCAATTTATGGTACCATAATTTTGATATCAAATCAAGCTAGTGAACCACCAATTTCTTTCCATACATGTAGAGACATGTATTTAAGAATTTTTTAACTCAAACACCATTGTATCTTGTTGTACAATAGGAATGTCCATCACATACCCTTTTTCTCAAATGCTTTATTACTTTTTTCATCATACATTATTATACCATAATTGTATAATAGGAATGCATATCATATTTACTTTGTTAAGCATCATTATACCTTATTGTATAATAGGAGTGCATATCACATTTGCTTTGTTAATCACCATTATACCTTACTGTATAATAGGAATACTATGCAAAATTTCAATTAGACACCATTAATCTCATCACCAAAACTAATATATAGGGGTATCACAATCTCCCACATTGGGAGCATCTCAAATATGTGATTATCACATTTCTCCAATAATTGAGTTAATGAAGAAACTCATTTACTCACAAAATTTCATAAGAACATATTAGCTCATCTCACATTTTATCACCACAAATGGCTCCTCGGTCATGTAAACTTAAAAAATTTAACTTACGTTTCTAGAATATATCAACCTAAGTTTCATGTCCATTTTTTTCAAATTTTTTGCTTGGCCCAATTTGGTTGGTTTTTTTTTTGTTTTTTTCCTTTGGTTTTTCAAATTTTTCCCTTTTTTCTTCAAAAAAGGAAGGAAGGAAAAAACTCAAGAATATGATCAATTAAATACAAATATTCACTCACCTTTTTTTTTACTTGGCTACTGAAAGCCAGCCAAATATTAACTACATGCAATGACAACATACGACTAGCTCATTAATCCTATAAATATAGTCATTAGCAATTGGCTTATTATTATTATTATTATTATTATAATTATTACTAATAAAGCAGCTAATAATAATCATGGTATGGAAATGAAACGAACATTGCATGAGATTGCTAAAATACGCAAGAATTACATATTCTTATGATTGTGGTTCAGTCAAGTCATATTGTAATCAAGTTCTATAGTGTATTTGACAAAAAGATCATGTATAAAAACATAACAATCATACATGTAAGCAATCAAGTTGAGAATCACAAATAATTTGGCCACAACAAAAACTTGGCCACTTATTCTAATAGGTGTTTACATGTAAGAGGGCTTAGAATATTTGGTAAATCAAAGCCTAGTCAAATGTATAGATGAGGTAATTAGATATGCTATAAGTACCTATTTGTGATCTCAATATCTCTCAAGTATGATTAATATCTAGGAAACATACCTTAAGTTCCAAAAAGAGTTAGACAAACATAATATACTTATTTTCTATACGGAGACACAAAATTGAATTTGCCTTAAAATTGTTGTTCCTAGAACGCTCTCCTCCATCTCCACATCATGTTATTGTTGTGTCTCGGTCACAAGATCAAATAAAATAATAATTAGTGAATTTATTAAGAAATATCGATAAAAAAAATAACATCGAAATAGGCATGAAAAGTTTACTTATTTGAAGGCGATTTACGCATGCCTCTACGGAGAGTAAATTAACCAGTGTAGTAGAGAAATATATAGCATGTTACCCTCAGGATGCTACAGGTTTATAATTATACTTTATGATATGTACTACTTTATGATATGTACTACTTATAGAGTCACCTAACTCAAAACACCTTGCTTTATCCAAGAATATTTAGAAGATAAAGTAAGGTAAGAAAAATAGAAGAATGAGGATAACACTTTTTTGAGCAAATAAACATGTGTTATTTGTAACTCCTATTTATATGTTAATGATAATAATAAATTAAGCAATTATTATGAAATAATCTGTCTTTAAATAAGACAATTAACCTACAATGGTTAGTTTGACCAAGTCCTTAATTGGACAATAAATTTAATTTATCAAATATATTATTTTATTTTTATTAAAATATTTAAGTTCCAACATATTAATCTTAACTTTTAAAACAAATTGAAGTGATAACCTTAAATTACATAATTTTATTTAATTAAAGCTCAATTTAGAATTTAAAATTTTATTTTATTAAATATTGATATTTAAATTTTAAAATTGTTTATATTCAAATCTAGATATCAATATTTAATAGGGTGAATTTCTGAATTTTGAATTGAAATTTTAGTTTTTAAATGTAAGTTGTGACTTTAATTTTTTAAGAGTAAAAAATAATACGCACTAACCTTGTGTATATATATGAGAGGTTTGTGCATATCCGTAATGAACTTCTAAGAAAAAATTGGATTCCCAACTTACATTTAGAAATCAAAATTTCAATTTAAAATTCAAAAATTCAACTTATTAAATGTTGATACTTAGATTTGGAAACTGATTATATTAAAAAAATATAATCAGTTTCCAAATCTAAGTATCAACATTTAATAAAATGGATTTTTAAATTTTAAATTAAATTTTAATTAAATAAAACAACATAATTTAAAGTTGAAACTCTAACTTATTTTGGAGTTGAGTATACATTTTCCCATATATATATACATATAGAAAAGTGTATATTCCAACTCTTTAAAAAAATGAAATTCTAACTTTAAATGACATTATTTTGTTTAATTAAGACTTAATTTAAAATTTAAAAATTTATCTTATTAATTATTGTTATCTAAGTTTAAAAACTAATTATTCTACAATATTTAATCAATTTTAAAATCTAAATATTAACATTCAATATAACGAATTTCTGAATTTTAAATTAAAATTTTAATTTAAAAAAATTAAACCTAATATACACTATCTTTACATATATAATAATAAATTATATAATCGGAATAGTCATTGCTTAGATATCAAATTATTTGCAGTTGGGACACTGCTTGAGGCGGGGACGGGAGCATATAAAATCTATCATTTTCACACTCTCGCTGTACATAAAATTCCAGATTCCTCTCCTAGTGGGTAATTGATCATTTTCTTCTCTTTTTTATTCCATAAATGTCATTTATTTATTTTTATTTTTATTTGTTTGAAGTTGGTTGCATAATTAGAGGTAACTCTTTCTCATTTCTTATTTTACTTCACTCGCATGACATGCGACTTAAATTCATGATTATTTACTTTCAACGGAAGGAGATTACCATTGAATTATTTAAGTTATTGGTATTTATCTTTCTATTTTTAATAATTATTAATATTTATATTTATTAAAGATTTGCTTTTAATAATTAAAATTTATTTATATTTATTAAAAATAATAATTTCTTTTATTTAAAAAATTATAATAAATCTTAATTATTAAAACTAAAAAAATTGAAATTTTATATAAATATAAAATATAAAATTTATATAAAAATAAATTTTTTCTTTCACACGCAAATATATATATATATATATATATATTGGGGATAGTCATTTCTTGTATATCAAAGTTATTAGCAATTGAGACACTGCTTGAGGCAGGCCGGGGACAAGGCATATAAAATTTATCACTTTCACACTTTCCCTGTACACTAAATTCCAGATTCCTCTCCTATTAGCTAATTGATCATTTTCTTTCCTCTTTGACCCCATAAATCATAATGGACTACTTAATTTCTGTCATCAGCTCATTACAAGCACTAATTAAGTGCTGTACACTCTGGAGATCCACAATGTCCACTCCACCAGCTCTAGAAGCTCCAAATGATCAAAATAATCATTCTTTTTCCTCTCTAGCTAGTAGGCACTTGTAAAAATAAAAACCTCTTTATCCTAGATGTCCAAGTAACATTCTCCATTGCCTTTTTTCAAAAAAAAAGAAAAGAAAAGAAGAAAAGGTAACATTCTCGATGTCCAGGTTTTCAATTTAGGATTGTATTGGATGTCCAAATTTTTAGATGAATGGAGTAATAATGAAACAATAGAGGGTGTAGCCTTTTGTCCCTAAACTAAAAGTATGCACGTTGCCTTGTCCTTTGGGGATTGGTTTGAATTTTCCACTCTGGCTCTCTCAGTACATTAACTTCTAACCACCTGGATTGTTTGAAACTGGCCTTTAAATATTGTGGCATTGGTGTCAAATTTTCGATCTCAGCAAATGGAAGAAACTTTTTTATTTTTTATTTTTTATTAAGGTAATGGTTAAAAAGTTAGTATAAATTAATTGATAGTAACTAAGGATTTGATCCCTAGACCGAGTGAATATTTCACTTCCTCAAATGAGACATGTAACCATCAAGTTGTTTTTTTGATAAAGTTCATAATGGTTGTAGAGTTCGAAACTCTGACTACTTTACCCAAATACTTAAAGTTTGGGTCGAATTATTGAATCTAAAGTTCTGGTTAAAATGAAAGAAACGATTGAATGAGACAAGTGAAGCCAAATTACCAATCGCTGTATTGGGAAGACTTTTGAGAAGTGATGTTAAGACTTTATCATCTTCCAAAGGGAAAGAATAAGAAAAATAATAATAATAATAATAAAGAAAAAGCTATGGCTGTACGTCCGTGGACAAAAAGATCTCAAGAATACATAAAGTTTATCAAAAAGTTTGAAAAGAGGACATATTTATACATGATAACGATTTATACTGAAAAGTGAAAGATGCAGAATGAATGGTCCCTCTAAGCCCTAATTGGCCTTCTACATTAATATGTGGCTTCCAATATTGATACGCGCGAGAAATATCAAAGTTCCGTTCACACTTCACAGAGAGAGAGAGAGAAAAAATCTTACCTCTGGAAATTTGGAATTGATTCTCGGCCCTCCGCTCTGGCGCTAATTTAATATATACTTAAATTTGTAAAATTTAATGGCGCAAAAAAATTTGACATATATGAATTAATAGTATTGTGAATTTATTTTTTCTCACTAATTTGGATTTGCGTGAATCAAATTGGATTAGGATGTAGATTCACTTTTCAATGTTTAAGTAAAATTAAAATTTTTATTTTTATTGTAGTGAGGAGCTTCTTTTTAGCTGATTAAAAAAAAAAAAGAAACTCCCCTATTTCTTTTAACTTCAAACAAAATAGACAAACCATGCAATAATATTTTTTTAAACATAGGAAATTACGGAGGATGAGAGATTTTTTATATAATTTGTGAGAATTAAATTCTTGATGAATTAAATTCAAGTATTAAAAATTAAGAATAAATCGTTGAACCAAAAAATCTGGTTCAAATTTATTAATAAAAGATAAAACTGAAAATTAAAGAGGATAAACAATTGCTTTTATTGATTAATAGTTCTCCATCTTTATAGGTATTTTTCTTTTCTTCTCTATGTGTATCTCAGGTCGCCAACACCCCTCGGAGGGAACTAGCTGCTTAGTTAAAATAATCTCATTTAACCAGCTTCAATGGCCTCATCATCACATTGTCTTCGTGATCCAAAATCTGCAACACAAAACGTTTAATTTATATAAGTTAGTCTTTCATTTTTAGTACTAACATTTATACACAGACACTTCATTTCTAGAAAACCGAGAGGAAAATGGTAAAACTAAAAAGCCTGACAATGGTACAAATTAATTTAAAAAAACGAAAGCAATGCTTTTTCAAAACTTGCACGTCAGAAAGCCAGACAAAAACGACAAATGATAGTCTTCCCGTGACTGCAAAGTTCTCATCGGCTCTCGCAACGAATAATTTTCAAAAGTTCGAAAAGAAAAAACTTTAAATTAA